TGTGTGTGTGTGTGTGTGTGTGTGTGTGTGTGTGTGTGTGTGTGTGTTTAGTGATGCCATTCCCATAATCTCCTGTCCCTTTGGGAAAATATCAGCCAGCACAGCCTAAGGCTGCTCAGACCCAGCTGTGTCTGCTGGGCCCTAAGGATGAAGTGACTTCACTGTAGTTTTCAGAGAACTAAAAAGGAAAATTCATTCTTTGCAGGAGTTCTTGGTAGCAGATAACCGCCAGTTGCCCAGTGGTGTTTACACAACTGCAGAGCCACGTCCAAATGCCTATATCCCAGAGGCGGAGGCCACTCTTCCTTTGCCCAAACCATATGGCGCGTTGGCTCCTTTCAAGCCCAGTGAACCGGGGGCCAATATGAGGCACATAAGGAAACCTGTTACAAAGCCAATTGAAATCTGAGCATGTGAACCAATCTGAGCTTCTAAAGGAGACACTTTAACCAGGCTGCCTCATATGCCCATCTGGAAAGTTCCAGCGTAATGGCTCTAAATTACAGACAAATGCAGTATCCACAATCGACCAACAACGGAGAACAACATGGCTTCCTTTTATACTCATCAGCTACTATATTTTACATGATGTTAAGTAGGACATAGAATTTTCCTACAATTATGTCAAAGCATATTTCTGTATTGTTCATCTTTTTCTTTTTCACTGTATATATTGACTACCTTTCAGAAATACATAGTAGTCTAGGTGCTATAAAAAATAAATCAATTTTCAATGCAGTACAGAAATTGGCAGCGTGGTCTTTGTTTATTGAGGAAGAAAAAAGCAAATACTGTTCAATATATTAACTTGAAAGAGAAAGATAGAATCATTGTTTGAAAAGGAAAATATCCCAAGTATCACAGAGGTTATAATTCACTTTGTTAAACAGTTGCATTTGAAGTTCATGTTGGTAAATGTAAATCAAGTAAAAAGCAGTAAGGAAGCTTGTCCTTTTAAAAGTAATATTATGGTCATTCTTTTTACAAGTAAAGAATCCTTTTGCTTCAAAAATAATTATGCCCTAATTTATCTTTCCTATAAATCTAAATTTTTTACAGCATTACATACAAATAAACCTGTGATTAAGTTCTGACTCCAGATTTTTAAAAATTCCAATGAAAACATTTATAGCTTTGCATGTGGCAGAGTTGAAAATGAGGCCAGTTCCACTTACTTCATTACTCCGATTTTATTGCATTTCACCCATATTTTCCTAATTCTGTTTTTATATTTTCTCATGTATGAAAATACCCAAGTGGATTTTAAAACTAATTTTACTTCATTAATATGTTCAAGCCATTTTTCATATTGGTGTCAGGTATGGATTTTGTGTCACAATTCTGGAAGTGAGAAATACCACATTCCTTCTTCTTCTTCTTCTTTTTTTTTTTTTTGCTAAATGAAACAAAATCTGTTCCAAGCCCCTATCCTGCCAGAATGGAGGGAAATTTAACCTCATTCTCAGCCTACAAGTTAGTCCTGAATCTAACTTGGTTGTTTTATAAAGTTATTAAAAAGCAAAGTGCCTGTGATAAGTAACAGTGTGTGGTTAATACAAAGAAACACCGCATACTTAAACACAGCTCCTGTGTTGTAGGAATTAGTAAGTGCATCAGGGATCCAAAAAATAGACCTGTAGGAACAACGTGAGAATGGAAACCTAAGTCTTTAACACAAAGGGATGGATGTTTAAGTATTACAGCCTGTGCGACGGGTGCATACAGAAGGAGCCACTGCGTGCTGGCGTGGCTGGGGGGTCACTGTCAGATGGACCGGTTTATCCGGCCCTTAAACACAAGTAAGATTTTAATAAGTGGGCAGGGGCTTCCAGATGGGGGAAATAGCGTAAGCCAGGCTTGGAAGTAAGACAAAACTGTTCAAGGCCCAGCGAACTGCCCTGGCTGGAACAGCATGTTCATGTCAGGGAATTGTGTAAGGCTGGGATTTAGGAAGCGCTGAATGTCAAGGAGTTTGGGTCTTATCCTATAACGAAGGGCTATGAGCAGAGGGGCGACAGAACCAGTCCCAGTGTAAGTCAGATGACTCGGACTTCAGAAAGACACTGAAACAACGCAAGTATGAAAGGGTAGGGAGTGAAAAATAATGATCTTGAGATTTTGAGCCTCTGTGACAACTACATATTTGACCAAAAAGGGAAATTCTGTAGGAGAGGGCAATTTTGGGAACACAAGTATGATTTTAGAAAGGAAGTTGAATTATTGTACTAGCTAGTGATATTTATAATCATGACAATTTCACAAGTTCACCCGGAGAAACTGTGGAGAGAGAAAAGCAAAGGGCACCGGCTGACCCCAGGCAAGCGACTACCGTTATGGGTCAGAATGAAGTCACTATAAAAGAGAGAGGGAAGAAAAAAGAAAAGTGGGAGAACTAGTTAGGTGCCCCGGGGGCCCTCAGAGAGGGAACATGCTCACGGACTCATGATTCCCGGCTGGAATAGAAAGGCTATGTTCAAAAAACGAAAGACTCAGGCCAAAACCTTCAGTGTTTCTTCTTCTTTTTTTAATGAAAAGATATTACTAAGTCAAACTTTTATAAATACAAAAAACTTGAACATATTAAAGTACAGTTCCATCTGAACAATCACAAAGACAAATCCTACTCTCAATACCGCTATGTACACACTGCTGCGTATGACAAATTATTCTCTACTGGAAATAGCAGGTTTGACCCGGTCCAAATTCAGTTCTTTGAAAAGTATCCTCTTTCCAAATAGAGTGCTTCTGTAACTAATTTTTCTGCTTGTCATATGTTACCTTCAACAACACATCTAGTTTTTTTCTTAGCACCGTCCCCTGCATTTTTTAAAGCGTAATTTTATTTCAGAGTGCAATACAAACTCGCTTTTGGCCCGTGGAGCCATGAGGAAGGTAAGCCACTGAGTCATCCCTGAGGACACAGCGCCCCTCTCAGACTGTTGTGCCCCTCCTCCCCACTTGACTGCTTGTCTCCTTTTCAAAGCTGGGGTGAGGTAGAGCAATTTAGTTCTGTCTGAACAAGTACCAAACTGGAATTCAGATGGCTTAACAATGTATTCTGATTTTGGTTACCAATTTTAAAGAATTGTAAAGGACTCTTGACGGAGGTCAAGCTAATGCGCAAGATTAAAATACTGGGAGCGGATACAACTGCATTTTCTCTTTCATAAGCCTAAAAGCATCGTGGTGTGTTTCAGAGCTGCTTCCTCTACAAATTTTGCATCCACATTGTCATGTCCTTCAAGAGCATACAGAGCTGGAAAAATAAGGAGAAAAGAGTTACTGCGTAGCCATGGAACTTCTGTAATAACATTGTGTCTGCAGCTCACTGACATCGTAATTACTTTATATTTTAGTAAAACACATTACTCTGAAAATGTGTTGTTAAAATTTATTCTACCCCAGCCACAAGAAAGGTCATTCGCATCAACCATACGGGTTTTGAGCCTTTTACACCCGCTTAAAACCTCAAAGGTGATTATTCCTTTGGTAATGTACTCCAGGATTAATCAGTGTGTTACTGATTAAAACTAGCTGCAGTAAGGACTACTTAGAAGGGGTATTCCAGAGAGAAAGGGGTCCACAGAAGTGAATAGGGACTGATGCGTCAACAGAAAAGCAGGAACGCCCTGAAGTTACCTTGACTGGAAGATTCTCTATCTGTCAGTATTTCAATGAAGTAGTTCAGGGGCAGGAACTCCACACTGCCTGGCGACTTGTCAATCATAGAACTCCGGGGCTAAAAGGGAAACCACTTCTGGCATTAGCTGATTGTCTAAAACAAACACAAACTTAAAAAAGGGGGCTGAGAACTACAGTTGCTGTCTCTGTGGAGATGATGAAATGGGCAAATAGGATCCAACAACAACATTGAGCGGGGCTGTGCTTGCTCGCAGACTCACCTGTTTCTTATAGTTTAGCAGCAGTCGCTTCACATGGTTCCGGGAAATGATGTTAGAACTCATAGGATGATCCCAAAGTCGGCAGATCTTCTGACCAATAAGCTATTATGCAAATTGAAAAATATGTAGAGCGGGATTTTTAGGGCAGTGAAACTACTCTGTACAATACTTAATGATGGATCCATTGCATTATACGTTTGTCCAAATGCATAGAATGAACAACACCGAGTGTGAACCCTAATGTTAACTATGGACTTTGGGTGATTGTGATGCATCAATGCAGGTTTGTCAGTTGTAACACATGGACCACGGTGGTGGGGGATGCTCGTAATAGGGGAGGCTCTGCACATGTAGGGGCAGGAGGGTGGACAGGGAAATCTCTATAGACCTTGCACTCAATTTTCCTGTGAACCTAAAACTACTCTAAAGAAATTAAGTAAATAATAACAAGAAAAGAATGGGAAAAAGTACAGAGAGGAGAATGTAGCTTATACTGCATTAAGTACATGTACCTTATACCTACTTATAATTTAAAAAGGATTATTCCAAAGTAGCTGGTTAGTCTAAAAGAGAGGCCCTTTATGGTTAACGACCCTTGAAGAAAGGCCATTTCCTATGAGGTGTGCCTCTGAATTTTGAATAAATACTCCCTTAAATTCAACCCTGAGGAAAGTAGTTTATTCACTGATGTTGCCAAATTCTTTTTCTGAAACGGAGTTCATCTGCTACTTTTCAAAACTGGGTACCTGCAACTCTAAGTGAGGTCTCGATAGGAAACAAAAGGTTGTTCTCCCCAGTGTCCTGCCCAGAAAATTTTAATTCCCTAAGAGCTTGAGGCAAAGAAAAACAAAACAAAACAAAAAAAACAAACTAAATGTTCAGAGACTTCCCCAGAGAGATCTAGCTGTGGAAAATATGCTTTGTTTTCTATCCTTGCCTTTGCTTCAGTAAGCTGTGAGGAGTAGAGGGTGTTACAAAGGAAAACGATTAGGTCCAGAAGGCAGCGGACATCCCTTCGTGGGAGGATCGTGCCAGAGATACAAGGGTGCAAGGTATGTCAACAGAGCAGAGAGCTGGCCCCGGGCTGGCAGGGTCAGGGAGTTTGCAGAGTCCAAGGTTCTGAAGACCTTGCTGAGGAATTTCATATTTTCATAGTATTTCTGACTCCGAGAGCCAACATCCCCCATCAAAACAAGAAGTGCCTGGCAAACCCTTTCTGTCATGTTTCTCGTTCCTCCTTCAACCTGGGAATGTGGTAGAAAGGGCAGTGGGAGGAAATGCAGTTCCAGAACCTTCTGACCTCACCTGGATTTAAATTTCTTATCAGTTTAAATGCCAAAAAACACCTGTTTCCCCTCTCCCTCCCCTCAGACTCATAGATGTAAATATTAGTGCAGTTTCCTAAGAGGGGAAAATGGCTAAGTGTTTCAGGCAGGCTGTGCCAGGCAGTACAAAGCCAGAGGAACAAGCATTTTGTCAGCGCGGCAGGGAACGGCCAACGGGCGTGAAGAGGGATGGGATTTCTGGGAAAGGACTGAAAAGTAAAACAATTCAACTGACTTTAGCCCAAAACAAGTAAATGCTCCCTTTGCAAGAAGGAACTGAAGGAGGTTCGTACCAAGGCTTATGGAGAGAATAAAATATAATTAAGGATTACCGGAGGAAGCCGCACAATGATGCTGAATTTTAGTTTTTCATTTTTCTCTGAGTTGTCCAGATCTACAAAAAAGTTAGATTGGCAAATAAAACAAATCTCCATTTTAATATGTGAGCAAGCTAATAATAATACTTCAGTGGTTCATTCTGATAAGACACATTCCCCACCCTGGATTCTCAAGCTGAAGTCTGACAATACCTTGAAAATTTTGGTTTGTTGTCTGAATACAAGGGCTTTCTCTTAATGAAGCAGTTTCTATATGGCATGGAACATGGTGCTGTAACAGGCTTCCATTCACAAAACAATTTTACGAAGTGAAAACAGAAGGCACCTTGGGGAACGGCAAATACTTTAACATATATTAACAAAACTCGTCTATAAAATACCACAACGAATAATTTCAGCAAGTGGTTACACTGGAGACCTTCAAGTTCAGATTCACATGAGCACTGCATCTCTCAGTCTCTCTTGCATTTCCAGTCTAAGTCTGCGATGACAGAGTTAATCAGCTGAAAGTAAGCCATTTCATGACATTTTCTTGAGAAACAAGCCTTCAGAGTCTCCTATCCTCAAGTGCCCTCGTGTACAGAGAAGGAATGTAATAGCTGTATGTGGATCGAGAAGCCCTCTGGGGCCTCTTGAAGGTCTGAGGCACTTCAAATTAGCCCAAAGCCTGGCTACAGGAAATGAACTGTACTCAGCAGGACAAGCGGCATAATTTGCAGAGTCCATTGCAAAAGGCAAATGAGGATCCCCTTGTTTCAATACTAAGGATTTCAAGATTTAATGTGGAGCATTACCCCGAGCATGGGGCGGCCCTGAGTGCACAAGGGCCCTGTGAGACCACACGGGTTGTACGCCACCAAGCCCGTCCTGATGGCGCTCAGGGCTGGGCAGGCACTGTGGCAAACTCGGAGCCTCTTACCTTTCATGAGCCTTGTGACAGCCGTTTCGGTGAGAAGCAACACCCCATCATCAATGTAATGCAGCAGGTTATGCAAAGGGAGACAGTGCACGCCGAGGAGCGTGTGCAGAGTGTGAAAACCTAGGCAAGAGATTGGGAGGGTAAACAGGGTCAGCCAGCATCTCCAGGCTCCTAGAGGGAGCGAATTCAATGATGTTACTAAAGCCCTTAGCTCAGCGCCTTGGCACCGAGAGTCTAATAAACGCTGCTTGAAGACACGGTCCGAGTCTCCTGCTTTGTGTTAACCTAAGTAGTGTGCTGGGTAGATAGGAGTTCCCAACAAGCGTGTGCGTCCCTTCCTAGGCAAAAAGACAAAAAGAGGGCAGGGCCTGCTCGATGAAAAACAGTTTTACAGTTTAATAGGTTTGCAATTCTGCAGTGGTATGGCAAAAGAGAACAGTTAAGAGCCTCAAACGCCAGATGCCCAGGCTGAAAGGCTGACAGATAGGGACCACTTTGCCAACACGGAAAAATTTTGAACTGGTAGGGGACAGTCTATGTGCCCGACCTCTGTGTAGGCCCTAAAGAAAGGCTTTTGGGGTCTACTTGAACTAAATTATAAAAAAAGAAAAATTTAAATAATATGGTCAGATAGCAAATCTATAGGAATTCAACAGAGAGGAAGGCAACTCCCTCAAACCTAAGTCTTGTGGGGAGGGTTACTCAAACCCTTAGAAACCGAGAGTTCTAAGCACACAATTAATAATAAATAATAAAAGCAACATCCATGGGAGAAGAAGATATCAGTCCAGGAGAGAAGGAGAAAAGCCCTCTTGGAAAAGACAGCACATGAGCGGAGCTTTGAAGAGTAAATGCAATTCCTGGGGGTGGCAAGGAGGCCAGAGGATACACCGAGTGGAGACAGTAGAAAAAAACCACCTTGTCATGAGTAGACCTATCCTAGAATCCTCCTGTGTTACTTACTAACCACAGGTAAGTAGCCTTTGTGTGCCTCCCTTTCTTCATCCCTAGCATGAAGCCACCGGTAGCTTTCCCACATGGCTGCTTGGAGAACTAACCCTAGGTCTATGAAGAGCCTAGCACATGGCCGAACAACAGCGACCATTAACAAACACGTACTGAGGCCTTCAATCTATGCATTGGCTAATTTGATCCTCAACACCATGAGGTGGGAACCACCTGATTCCCATTTTATCATTGGGGAAACCAAGATTCACAGGAGCTAAGAAAGTTGCCCAGGATCATATCATTAGTAAGTGGCCGAGCTGAAGTTGAAAGCAGGCTATGGGACTTAGCTGAGGCTCTTACCCATGACATTATCCTGCCCCAGGAACTGGTAGCGGGGTTAATGGGACAATATGAACAGAGGCCCAAGGTGAGAAAGTATGGGGCATGTTCAGAAAGTACTACATGACCCAACTGAGTTGGAATCAGGTGTACGAGAGGAATGGTAGGAGGTAAAGTTGGAATTTATTTAACAAATCCCTTCCAGACACCAGACTAGGAGCTGGGTATACAATAATGAGGAAAACAGACCCCACAGCTGCTCCCATCCACCTTCCAGTCCGATGGGAAGGCAATCAAATAATCACAAAAATATACATTCTTAAAGATGTGACCATTTTGGGGCACCTGGGTGGCTCAGTCAGTTTAGCATCTGACTCTTGGTTTCAGCTCAGTTCATGATCTCAGGTTCATGGGATTGAGCCCTGCCTCAGGTTCCAGGCTCACCGGGGAGTCTGTTTGAAAGTATCTCTCTCCCTCTGCTCCTCCCCCTGCTTGTGCACGCTTGCATGCTCTCTCTCCCCCTCTCTCTCAAAATAAATAAAATCTTTTTTAAAAAATGGCCAGTTCTATGAAGGGAAAAGTGCAGGGTGCTCTGAGTGCACACGACACGGACTGAATGGTGAGTGACAGCGAGGAATTTCTCATTTAGTAGGCTTTGGGGAGGGACACTGAGCAAGACAGAAAAAAGGATTTGATTTTTACTCCTGGAGTATTAAAATGGCAACAGGCAAAGAATGGACTGGAGTACGGACAGTTTGCTACAGGAGGTACGTAAGACAAATGTGTTGGGAGGCCACTGCGTGAACCTGCGCCAGAGGTAATGAGGACGTGGACAGTGAAGCAGGAAGGAAAGGACCGGAAGCACGTGGCCACAGGTCCAGACTTGGAAGCTGATGAGGTGTGAAGAGGGAATAACAAAGGATCACAGCCTAATTTTAGGCGCTTACATGACAAAGAAATGATGCCCAAAGAGCAGGAACTTGAGTTCAGAGCAGTCATGGAGTTTTCTCTCCCTGAGCACATGAATCATGAGCAGTGAGGGATTGAGGCTTAAGTCCTGGCCACATCAAGGGTCAGATAAAGTGCAGACTCTGCCCACAAGCAGATGTTAAGGGGCTGACAACAAGATGACTCCGCTGGCAATCCAAAAAAAAAACTGATTTTCTGATTTTACTAACTAATCAACAACATGAGTTTCTTTTTTTTTTTTTTAAAGATTTTATTTATTTATGTGAGAGACAGAATGAGAGAGAGAGCATGAGAGGGCGGAGGGTCCAAGGGAGAAGCAGACTCCCCGCCGAGCAGGGAGCCCGATGCGGGACTCGATCCCAGGACTCCAGGATCATGACCTGAGCCGAAGGCAGTCGCCCAACCAACTGAGCCACCCAGGCGCCCACATGAGAGTTTTCAAATGGATTTGGACATTCTTCCCAAGATTAAAAAAAGTTATGAAATTCGTTCTGAAGAAAAGTTTATTAAAGGTTCCTATAGATTTCCTGGATTCGAAATCCCTCCTGCAGCCCTGCATCCATGCCTTAAAGATCCCCGACGGCCCTTCCTCCTCTATCTCCACAGCACAGCCCCACATCCAACAGTCTGCTCTTGGCTTCCTCTGCATGTCAGCTCCAGGCAACAGAACAAATTGGCTAAAAGTGGGCATCAGTTCCAAAACAGAGCTGTTCCAGCCAACTCTAATCCTCATCCTCCAGGGCTCCTGGCCTCCGCTAGCCCGTGAGGGGAACACAGGTCCCATTTAAATTACAACTGCCCCAGCTCCACACTGTGACTCCCTTTTGTGGCCCTCATTCCCTTTATTCTTTAACCAGTTGGGTTGCAAGTTTCCGACACTTGAAAATCAAACAGTTCTCACTAGTCCAGCAGGCTTGGAAAGCAAGCACACATACAAAAGTACATGAGAAAACACCCTGTATTTACCCACACATGTGCACACCCACGTGACCCAGTGCCACTTTCCATGTCACATGAGGGAAACCAATGTTTAAGAGAAACAGACAGAGATACTTGACCCATGGACACAAACCAGTAAGTCTACTCATAATAATTCTCAATCACTATGGATAATGTTTTTCCATGTTTTCCCTCCTTACATACCCCTGGGAAGGAGTGTGATGCTTCCTAGGAAGTAGAGTTTTATGGTCTCCTGGGTATAAAATTGTCCCTAATAAGTCACTTTCATTTATTTACAAATGGGGCTTGAACATCCATGGTGAACAAACCTGAAAGTGTCAACCGAATCCTCTACCAAGTCTTTTGTGTTGATGATTAAGAGTTGAAGCCAGAAAGTCATATATAGTTTTCATGAAATCCCTTCACTCTGTCTAGAGGGCACCTGGAAATTCCTATTCTATTGGGATAATTTAAAGTCCTCTATTCTCCTCATGAATGGTCACTGTCAGATTCCTATAAACCAAAGAAACTCCTTGTGCCCTCCAGTACCCTCATGTCTTATAAGATGAGGTGTGTGGACAGAGAAAGCATGAAGGACTCCAAACTGAGTCAGATGTATCACAAATGCAGACAAGCCAGGACGTGCTATGGGGATTTCTGGGCCCATAAACAGTCAATGTTTTGGCATCAACTAATTCAAATGGAATATAAAATTCAAGAGGCAGCACAGAATAGTCATTAAAAGAACAGATTTTGGAGCCAGACTTCCTGGATTTAAATACTGGCTCTGTTGCCTAATCACTGTGTGACCTTCAGGCAAGTTACATAAACTTTCTGTGCCTCAGTTTCACCGTCAATAAAATGAGAATAATATTAAAGTGGAGCCATATGAAAGTGCCTTTTTTTTTTTTTTTAGTCAAAAACTGGTTGGATATTGACAATTTAATGTGGTTCATTTTAAGCTCCTACCATTTAGGACTGTTAGGAAAACTAAATGTGCTTATTTATGTAAAGTACTTACAGCAACTGGCACAAAACGGGCACCATCTACATATTGGCTTAAAATGAAAGAGTAAAGGAATGAATTACTGATAGCTGATGCAATAGATGTATATATATAAATAAATTAAATTAAACTGGCTGATAAACATTATGTAGTGACAGTTACCATAAAGCTTAACACTCATCAGAACACATATGTAATGAATACAAGGCAGACAGGAGCTTATTTGCTTCTTATAATTAATACATGTTCCCAACTAGACTTCTGTTAATTTTTGCAACTGCTCCAATTTCTAGCACGGCACATGGAATGTAATAAAAAAAATCAACAAATGGTTGTTTGAGTGAACAAATGACCAATTAAATGAATGACTGCATACACATGGGCCAAGGGTGTTTTGAGGCCTGACTTGGTCCTGTTTCAAAATCCTCAGGGCGATTTTTAGCTTCCAAGCACGTAAAAATCAGCTATTTTCTGACACCCAGCCAGACCCACTTCCTCCTGAGTGTTAACTTTCTCAATCAGATAAACTAAGCCTGAAGACATCAGAGAAAGATCTCCCTGCATCAGCTCCACTGTTTCCAGGTATCCTAGCGAGCCGCATGGGGACCAGCCTCGGCTCCCTAAAGTCAGTGACGAGCCACAGCAGAATTTAATAATCGGGGGACATCTGGTCTGCAGAGAACAATGTCAGGCCCATCTCTCAAAGTGACCCCAGACGCACAAGTTCTCAGACACAGGTCGTCTCATCCTTAAATGTGTAAGGCCCGGGGACCACGTGAAGAAGAAAGAACAAATGTTTTACAACAAAGGACAAAAGAGCCAAGACTTACCAGGAGGCAGAGGTAAAAACAAACTCGTAGTCGCTTTCAGAATCCTGGTCATGATGTGGAAGACTGTAAATTCAGCAGCACTGGCCCGCCTGCTGCTGGGTAAAACGACAGAGCCGCCGTCAGCCAAGGGGTTCATCCCTAAAACTCCCATTTGTCTGAGCAGTGGCTCTGCGTATCACACAGAGATGGAATCCATGCTCACTGTGAAGCCTCATAAGTATGATGGAGACCATCAGCCTAAGGCCGAGAATCTAACCAGACAGTGGGCACATAAATGATCGATCGCATTAACTCAAATTCCCCTTCCTGGCCGTCCTGAGCTCACACGCCCCTCCGTCCTCATCAACCACATGCCAGGGAAAGAGTGTGGTGAAGCCACAGGGCGGTTCCTTTAAATGCTGAGTACAGAACTAAGACAGCGTCAGGGCTGGTGACAACTGCTTTCAGTTGTTAAGTGCCACAAAAGCTTTGCCACAACAGGCAGCAATTAGAGTTGTTTTAGCTCTTTATACACCCTGATAAGGGAGAGGAGAAATACTTGCGTACAAGTGGAGAACGGAGGGGTGAAGATGATGTTTCCTCCAGCTGGTCTCCAGGATTTGGCAAATGAGATCCAGCTGGAGGATAAAGACAGTCTGTTACCCTTCGCCCATACCCTCTCCCTTGGGGGGTCCCTACAGCGAGCCCTCTGCAGGCCTGACAGGCCTGTTCAGGGCAGCTGGTAGTTAGCCTGGGCCGGGACACAGAACCAGCCTTTCTGCAGGCAATGCTGACACACTGGAATCCAAAATGGAAAAGACTGAAAATGTGCACCAGAGTCTAACAGAGCCCCTTCTGTCTACACAGCCAGTGCCCCCGCTGAGCTTCTCCAGCCCCGTTAACAGGCCCTCAGTCACAGGCCCTCTGCCATCAGTGAAGGTCAAGTACAACTGGATTTGCTCTAGGCCTGTTATATGACAAAGGCCAACAGCTGACAGTGGGAAGAAGAGAGGCACAGAACAAGATAGAGGTCCTGAGCATCGACTGTGGAGTATGACCGGTTTCAAGTCCAGGTCAGACATTTGACTGGTTTGTCAGCAACAGAGCAGTCTCCATGGGGCTGGGATCCACCACGAATCCCACGCCCTGCACCTAGAGGCGAAGGACAGGGCGCCAATCGGAACGGATCTCCATATGGGCACAGATAAAAACAGTTCATTCTCAATGACACAGATTCTCAGTGTCTCTTTGGCTGAAGTCAGGTAAGATGACCCGTAAGCAAGATATAGTCTGGTTCCGCAGCAACTTCCTCCGTTTGTTTTAGAAAGCCCCATCGGCCGCCCTCCTGAGGGGCCTGGGAGACATGGCTGTTTGCAGGAGCAGGAAGGTCTGCTGGGAAGTCGGTGACTGCCGAGTTGGAAAGTTAGGGGTACTGCGTTTGCCTAGGCTACATCCCTACCACTTCTGGTCCTATCGGTTCCAGTGGTTGTTAACAGCCTAGTGTTAAAACTTCTATATGATTAGGAAGAATGATGCTTGAACAAAAACGCTTAATACTTTGGAAGGTGAAATTTAAAGTCAACAGAAAGAGAGATGATAGATGGACATGTTAAATAGTTGTGTTATTAAAGGACAAAGAAAGCAAGTTAATACCAGCATGGGGAGGATCAAAGCCACATTCATAAAGTGAGCTCCTTGATACAGTTCTACCAGAAAGAATTATTATTTAAGAAAGAGTCAATGCCAAAAAAGAAAAGGTTCAATGCCTTGCTTGTAAATATCAATATATGAGAATGCCAACCTCTCCTAATTTATTAAAACTTGTGAAATTCAAAGATATTTAAAAACAGACACTAATGACTACAATAAAGGCAGAAAATTTTAAAATTAAACATGAAATTCAATCAGGGCCATATCAAATACGTTTAATCTTCCAGAGTTCAATGCAAAAATATATGTTCACACAACTGATCATTTGCATACTGGTCTTACCCAAACTTGGAGAAATGGAGTGTTCTTTCTCTTTCTGTGAATTTAAATAAGAATTTGTCTAGCACATTACTTCTAGATTCTAAGTAGGGTCAGGCCTCAACTCCATATGCTTTCTGAGAGACTCAAGACCGCCTCAAAATTTGGTGTAGCCATTATCACTTCCATTTACACATGGACTGGTGTTATTAATTGGAATCACACAATTTCAATGGGTGGCTACCAGGTAGATGGGCTACCAATCCCACCAGCAGACTCGAATGTGGTAGTATTTGTACAACTGAGCTAGAATCTGGCCTAACTGGGCTGTTGGCACTCATTAAGAATTTAAGTTCAAGTTCTCTCATGTCTTCATAAACCTCCATGTACAGAAATCATTACCTATGGTTTAATAAGATGCTAGAAGATGCCAAGATGACATGTGAACATTTGGCAACCATACTAAGTTCATCATTGTTCTATACTTCCATGAACCTATAAATCACTATTTGAAGGGAGTAAAATAAACCACTTTCATAACCAAGTCCTCCTTGGTTTTTTTGTTCTTTTTTCCCTTTTTTCAATCTACAGCACCAAATATACCGGTTTAAGGACAGAAAATCTGCAAAAGTCTAATCTGAAAAATATACTGAACCGCCAACTGGGAGCTACATACTGGGGGAGCGGGGGGTGGCAGGATAGAGAATAAAAAAGCAAAACCAACCAGTTTCGAAATGTAGTCCAGAACCATCTGTTCAATTTTCTTCTTTTCTACACCCTGTAGGTGTCTCAAAAGATGGTCTTTTAGCTCAGACACCATCTGAAAACAAGGACATGGATTAGATAAGTCACAACCTACCCACTCACACCTGCTACAGGTTGAAACAAGATCCATTTATTAACACTCTTTACCAACACAAAAAATACTGGACCTGAAGATCCCATTGGCGGAAATGTACAACCCACAGTGTTACTACTTTAATGGGCATAAATCAGGGACACCAACGTTCCTCACGAGGAACTGCTGATGATTCACCCAGAGCCCAGTGAGCAGCCAAGAGTCAGATTCCCACCCCTGATGAGAATTCGCCAAAGAAGCTGAAGGAAGCCACTAACTTAGAAGTCAAAGGTGGAAGTCTATTGCTCCCAGACCTGGAGAACTAACAGGAACAACTGTAATCATGGAGTGACTGTGTTGATGCGGGGTGGGGGTGGGGGTGGAGGGTTGAGGGGGGTGGGGTGTCGTGGGGAGAGGCATGCTTTGGGGCATTTGGAAGGATAGAGGCAGCAGTAAAAACGAAATGCATCAGGTACCTCCCTCTGTGCAGTGGCTCTAGACATTGAACACAGCGCCCTGACATGCAAAAGTAATGAAATTATTGATTCTATCACCTCTGAACAGACTTGTATATCTACTCTGTTCTCATCTTTCTTGGAGCTCACCAATCCGTGTAGCATCCCAGCCCTCCCCGCCTTTTGCTCTTTTGACTCCTTCTCCTTTCTCCCTCTTTGGCCTAAATGTCCTCCTCAGTTGGAGGCCAGCCTCGCTAGAGATTTTTGCACCAATGAACACCATGGGAGTTGTACAATTGATATCATATGCACACATATTATGTCAGCAGATTTACATATATGACACCCTGAGCAAAACTTAGCCCATGGCACTCCGGGCCACGTGTTAATTAATTAGACTTAAAATTTCTAAATTTTTAAAAAAAGATTCTTGCATGCTTTTTTGTGCTTTTCAATTTTTCTACGACAACCATAAAGATGAAAATTTAAATCACCCATAATCCTATTGTCTGTGTTAACATTTTGGATTTTTTATTTTCCTTTTCTCTAGTGTGCACACTCATTCCAATGTTTTCTAATTTGCTTTTTTTTTTTCATGTAATAGTTTATGTCATTCAATACTCTTTACCACACTGGTTGTAAATGGCTGCACAGTATTCAATTTTAGGAGAAAGTACTAGAACTGAATTATTTATTCTCCTCTTACACATATGGGATACTTCTTCTACGACTGTGAATAGAACTAAAAAAAACCCTTATACATGACTTGTTTGCCATACCCCCAATTATTTTCTCAAGCTAAATTCCTAGAAATGGAACTTGGTGCGTCACGAACTTAAGGTTTACAGAGACACTGCAGAAATGCCTCCCGCATGGTTATACTAGTTTTCAACTGCATTGCATGAGACTGCCCGATTCCCCGTATGCTGAACTTTGCTAGTGTGATTTTTAAATTTTTGACAATTTCATAGGCAAGCAAACACACACAATTTTTTATATTACATTCCTTAATCTATCCAATATTTCTATTGGTTTACGGCATAAGGTGGTGGTATTTGGGATGGGAGGACTCCAACTGTCTTTTGCAAATAGGCAGCCATTGATCGATTAAAAATTATTTCTTTCCAGTGATTTTTTTTAAATGCCTAATTTTATCATACACTAAAGATTCAAATTTAAACTAGTGTCTCCTGTCAGTCTCCTGTTTATTTTGTACAGGCACCATATTGTTTCAGTTACTGTAGATCAATAACATACTTAGCTATCTAGTAATGTCAGCTCCACTCCTTTTTGTCAAGTGAGTCACCTGGTCAACTGTCAGAGAAACTTCATTGGCTTTTTTGTTATAGTTTTATTAAACCTAGATGCTAAGGATTTGGAAATGGAATAATGTTTTTCATTAATTTTTCTAACTGGTTAATCCTAATAAAAAAGAAAGTAAATTTAGAATCACCAGCTTATTAACTTGTTCCTTAATACTTTCCATTTCCGCTGGTGATTATTTTGTTTGTTTGTTGCACTGGAAAATCACAGCATCTTCTTTTACTTTTGTTTCTTATTGCACTGTATAGAATTTCCAGAACGTAAAATTTTAGTGAAAATAGCAAGAATCTGTAACTTATTTTTTGTTTTTTGACAGAGAGAGTACGTGCATGGGGCAGGAGTGGGGGAGAGGGAGAGAGAGAATCTTAAGCAGGCTCCATGCTCAGCGCAGAGCCCGACAGGGAGCTCGATCCCATGACCTTGAGATCACAACCCGAGCCAAAATCGAGAGTTGGACGTTAAACCGACTGTGCCACCCACGCACCCCACTTCTTTCTGATATTAATAAGAATGACCCCAACATTTGATTTAAAAAGATGTTAGCTATCAGTATTAGAATATTTTTGTCTTATTGATTTGGTGTATTCCAGGAGTGGAATTTTACTTTTATCAATTTTAAGCACCTATAGAGATGATCTTTTTTCCCCCTCTTTGACCTAGTGATATGATGAACTACATTAATACATTTGCTAATGACAAGCCTTCTTGGAAAAAAGGCCACTTGGCCATGTTGTATTTTTTCAAATGGACCACTGGAAAATATTTTGATTAAGCTTGTAGTATCTATGTTAATAAATGAAAGTAAAAGTCATTAGATTTTGGTTTTAGGGTTATGTTAGTTTTTTAAAGTGATTGAGAAGCTTCCCATCTTTTTTTCAAAAAATACTTTACATAGTATGGGTATGACCTGATCCTTAAAAGTTTGAAAGAACTAACTCATTAAATAATTTGGTGCCTTTTTTGGAGATAATCTTTTTTTTTTTAGAGAGAGAGAGTGAGTGCATGTGTGGGGGGGGTGGGTAGAGGGATAAGGAGAGAGAGAATCTTAAGCAGACTCCATACCCAGTGTGGAGCTCAACATGGGGCTTAACCTCAGGACACTGAGAACATGCCCTGAGCAGAAATCAAGAGCTGGACACTTAACCAGGCGCTCCTGGGGATAATCTTTGACAAGTTTTTCAAATTATTTTATGGTTATTATGTTTTCAAGGATTTTTATTTCTTCTTGGCTCAAGTTTGGTATTTCTATTTCTCAAGGAAACTTTTAACTGGAATTTTCAAATGCGTGAATATGCATTTACACATGTTTTTCTCACATTTTAAAACTTTCCATATTTAAGGTAATAGATTATCCCATTCCTAAACCTGCACAGGATTAAAGATATTTTACTAGACTTTCCAGATGTCTCTTTAATCAGTTTTTGTAAAGAAATAGATTTTGGATTTATTTATCGGTTCTCTTCCATTCATTTATTTTGATTTCTCTCTCTTTGGTCTTCCTAGTAGTAGGATTTCTTGAGAAATGATACTTCATTCTATTGTATTTTAAACCCCAAATACATATGCCACAGAGACCCTGTTCGTTCCTTGTTTTAAACACTGAATGCTGTACATTTCCTTATGATGTTTTGTAATTAGAGGTTTTGGGCGGTGACTGATTTATATGTCTCCCCCACTAAATTCTAAAAGTGCAGAAATCTATCTGTGGTGCTTACATTGAGCACACAGGGCCTACAAGTGGCTGGTAACAGCTATGTGTTAAAAGAATGAGTGAAAAATAAGGTCAGCATGAGCAGCACAATCTAGCTCTTTACCCTTTTCTTGGATCCCATCGTTTCGCAGCACCCAAATGGCCCCCAGGCCACTTACCAGTCCCATCAGCAGCCTCTGGGGGTTGTCTTCCTCCCGGAAGAGGGGTGTTAATCTTGGCTCTGAAATTAAACAAAACAATAGTCAAGAAGAGTGGTTTTTGGGAAATGGGCTAGAAGAAGAGAAATCAGCCTGGGTTTCCCTTCTCTGAGTTATTGAGAAAACAGACCATTTTGCTGATAGGATGAAATTTTTCATTAGATGTGTGACCTATTCCTGAAAGCCGAACTTATCACCCAGGTGATACACACAGAGCTCTACTCTAACAGACCAGGAAAGAAAGAAAACAAGGCACACATTTCCCAACACCAGTAGGCTCTGGCTTTGAATTCTCTTCAACATGAAAGCTCACCACCATCTAAGAACCTCTGCTTCACTGGAGTTAGAGACACTTGGGCCCTCTCTTAACCCCAAGGGGGCCATAAACTCTGTGACAGGGACCTGGTGGAAGGACCGCATGCCTGCCTTCCTTGTGACCCCCTATAGTTTAGTGACTTTGGGAGTCACTGAACTGAGGGGACCTGTCAATTACTGTAGCAAATAATTCTGACTGACACAAGGTATCCGACTAAAAAGGTAACCAGTTGAAGATGGAAAAGTGACGTGTAAGGTTAAATCGGATGGCACTTTCTCCGCCATGATTTGCACTATACCAGCAGACTGGAGGGGCAGACACACACAATCTTGTTGCAAGATGGGCCCTAACACTGCTCTAACTACACCTGCGTGCCCTGTGCCCCCTCTCCTAGAGCAGCTGAGGCCCGCACCTGGCAAGAGAGCAGAGCTGCCCTGGTCAGCGGGCTGATGACACTGTGTGGGACGGCACAGGTGCCTCTTGCGCCCTTGGGATAAATCCTACCTGGGTCCCGCACGAGCTTTCTGATTAAGATGAAGCAATTCAAAACTGGACACCAACAGCCCTGAATTTCATCCAGATTGTTCTGTTTCTGTTAGTGATGACATTCTTCCTAGGGTGCTAGTGCAAGCCAAGCATGTGAGAGGAAGGGACAAGTTTCCAAAGTGCACGCAGAGAGAATGACTGGCCACAGGATGCAAACGGCGGAATTACAGAAGTCGGAGCTCCAACAGGGGCAGAGGAGTGATGGACACAACAAAAACCTTGACAACTGGCAACATTTCCCATACTGCAAACTTTCTAGCTAGGCAAGAAGGGCAAGCCTGAGCCAGGCACATTCACACCCCGGCTGCAGGGCAGGACTCCTGCCTGCCGCTAGCAGGAGAACCCCTGGATCCGGGCATGGACGGCCTGGAAACACAGCCGGAGGCTGGTTCGCTCCGGATTGCTCAGTGAGCACAGGCTCTGTCGCCCTGGGCTGGATGACAAGTTCACTGTCCTGGTTCACATGATCTGTGTGCACAGCTGCAGGATGTCCCACAATGCACTGTATAAAATCATTTCCATTAGGGTCACCCAGCATACACCTAGACATCCAAGCCTATAAAACAAACGTGGGATATAAAAATAACAGCTTTTTAAGTGGAGGCTGGTCTTTATGAGGCCTGAAAGGGTTCCAGTGACAAAAACCACAAAAAGCTTGTACCTGGATTCGCTTAGCCTTCTCTTCCCCCAGTTTTATCCTGTAGGGTATTTATCAAGACTTACCTCGGATGTCACTCCCTCTGGCAAGCCTTTTCTAAGCTCCCTCTCTTCCCAACCATCCCCACTCCTGACGCAACTCCCCCCACACACACTGTGGTTCTAGAACACCCGTCACCTGGTTTAGAAACAGCATGTTAGCATTTCTTCCTCACACGTTACGGACAAAGCAGTCATCTGAGGTATCTCGTGCACAAAGCGCTGTACAAGGCGCTATACACATCTCCCCATTTGCTCTCACTTTCCTCCTCACCTTGCCCTGAAAAGGCTAATGCATGAAGTGAACACATGGCTTGCCCAAGAGCACACTGTTAACATGAGGCTGGACTGGAATTGAAGCCAAGTTCTGTCTGGCTCCAAGCCCATGCTCTTCCCCCATAACCACACTGCTTACCCAGAGACTCCTATCTTTGTACTCCTATGACCTAGCCCGGGGAGTACCCAAATGTTAACCAAAATGAAAGACCCCTGTATGATCAGACAGCTGGAAAGAAAGCAGGCCTAAGCCAGGGGAACTGCCGAAGTGCATCCTGTGGGTACAGCCACAGGGCACGGTAAGTAGATCAAGGCTCTGAAGAAAAATAATGAAAACCAGACGGCCAACACTCAGGGACCCTTCCAGCAAAAGCACATTCAGCAGCTGTCCCTAAAGGTCCCGGTGCCAAGACAGACATGGAAGGAGCTGGGTGGTCACTCTAACAGGGAGATATTAAAGGGTGCTGCCTTCGTTGAACTACTGAGCGTGATTTTCTCGCCAACCCACAGGGGTAGGAAACACCGTGTTACAAACCAAACGCTGACTGAAATCCAGAAGGCTTTATTACAGGTCTTTTCTTACCCAAATTCCTTGCTTCTAGGTTAGAAATCACCCTACAAAGAAATTAGCCAACGTTATTCACATAGGAAGATGAAAAAAAAAAAAAGCCACAATACCATACAAAGACATCCTCCATAAAACCACTGCAGAAACTGTTCTCAGGCGGCCGAAAACCTCAAACACTTTAATCAACTTGGCAAAAGCCACATTAGGCAATTATAAAATCTCAAAACCCTTTAGCGCTAACAATAACTTAGAACAATCGCAGCACTCAGTTATTGGAAATAATGGAAACAAAATAGAGCAGGGTTGGAATGGGCCTGTACTTGTAGCACTCTGAGATGACTCATCTATCCAGAAAATGGGCTTTCAAAATAAGAGCCAGCTCATCAGCCCACTAACACATTTTAAATGAAACTACTGTCTCTACCCCCTTTAAGTGCTTACTACTTTAGTAAGGGCTTTCTTTACCACTTATCGCTTCTAATTCATCCGGCCTCAGGATGCAAGCCTATAAGGTTTAACACATACAATTTTCCCACTAGAAGTTCTAGCACCAAACTCGAGAATAGGGCCAAGGTGGCTGCATTCATTAAGCCGACGGCATCATTTTGTTGAGGATACTCAACAAAAGGAAGCTACTTCCATGAAAGGTATCCAAGAAAGTACTTGCAAAAAACAGCCATCTAATAGGTACACTAATCCCTAATTTTACTTACTTCATTGCATTATCAAGAATATTCCTCACATACACCATGGACCTTCTTCTTCCTGTTTTCTAGAAGGGAGAACATGTCAGAGGTGTGGAAGGTAGAGGTTTTGTGGGTGCCATTTTTCACACCAAGGACATAATGCGATATAGTAAAGAGTTTCAGAAAAAAGAAATATACTTTCCAGGTACTCAAAACACTTACGTTCTTAAAAATTAGTTAAAAAAGCATTTTAGGCTGAAATGATTATAGATGTAGAGGAAGTTGCAAATCAACTAGACAGTGTTGTGTTATGTACAGTAACACTACGACTACATACGATGCTACAGAGTGATCTCATGTGCGCTTCACCCTCCACCCCCCGTTTTTATCTTATATAAAGGACTATAGTGCAATACCAAAATCAGGAGATGGATATTGCTAGAATGAGTGTATAGTCCTACGTCATTTCATCACGGATGTACATTCATGTACCACGATCAAGATACAGAACTGCTCCATCCCCCCAAAGATCTCCCTTATGTTGCCCTCCCTTGTGCTCCCTCGTGTTGCAGTCCCAGCCACTCCTTTCAACTATCCATAACCCCTAGTAACCACTAATTTGGGAACACTTAGGTTTTCCAAATCAATTTTTAACTATGCAAGCAACGCAAGAACACAGGAAAGACCGGGATGTTAATCTCACTTCTACTCTGAACATGCTGCGTGTGCCCCTTAACCTCTGTGCACTTGATTTTCCTCCTCAAGAGAAGACAGATCAGAGATGCACTGTGGTCTTCTTGCAACAACGCAAAAGGGCCTGGCGGTTAGGGAGAGTGCGGTAAATTGAAGCCAGCCTTAGGACGTAAGGGCATCACCTCATCTGATGCACTATACTTTTGCTTCTTGCTTTATTCTTATGAATCCACACAAACCTCTTCTGAGATCAGGCTATGCCATTCTCTCTGGACCATGCTGTTGTTATAGAGCAAGTGTGGCTTGGAGTACTTAATGTATTCCAGGTTGGAGTTCAGTTTTTCCCAGTAGCCCTTAAAGCTGTGCACCTGCAGAAGACAAAAAGCACTGGTGAGCTTGAGAAGCAGGACCCGTGGCCCCGACCAATCAGCAAGGACCACCCGAGCCTTGCGGCAAAGCCAGGCTCGCCTTACTTCCTCAGCTCTTAGAGGGCAGCATTTCTGAGTGAATTCTTCCCACGAAAGACGGCATTCTCCACCTGCAGGAATTCTAAAATAGTAAGACTTAAAGAGTCTTGCTTTCCCCATTTCCTTTTCTGCCCCTTTTACAGAAAGCCACTGCCCCCTTCCCCAAACCAGCATGAGTCACCTGGGTTCAGGCTAAGTTGGGAAGCCTGTATTAAACCCAGTGTTGTATTAAACACATCAGATCATTTCCTCTCCCGAGACCCATTTTTCTGACTTAGGTCGTGTCAACAATGCTATATCCAGTCAGAGAATGTGCATAAGACGTATAGCACATGGAAGGGGCTTACTTTCCTGCTAAGTTTATCTACTTCCAAAAGATGTCTTTCAAAACCTAGGAATCAGAAAGGTGGAGTGAACTGGTTTTACATTCAGTCATCAAATACTCCAAAACTCCAAAACAGATTTTTTGGCATCCTATCTAGGTCTTTGACATATTGCTATAATTGAAGCAATACTGTATCCATTATATTCGTTTTTAAATACAATGCAATACTAATATAGTTTTTAATACTGAAGGATGTATTGATACAAAATGTTTTTTAATTTTTTAAGATTTATTTATTTAAAAGAGAGAGAGAATGCATGAGAGTGGGTGGAGCAGAGGAAGAGGGAGAGAGACTCTCTAGCAGACTCCCCACGGAGCGCGAAGCCCGATGCAGGGCTTTATCCCATGACCCTGAGATTGCCTGAGCGGAAACCAAGAGTCAAACGCTTAACCAACTGAGCCACCTAGGTGCTCCTGCTTTTTAATTTAAAAAATTTTAAATTTAAGTATAATTAACATACCATGCTATATTAGTTTCAGGAGTACAATACAGTGATTCAAGAATTCTATAATTACTCAGTGCTCACCACAGTAAGTGTAGTCACCAACTGTCACCAACCATTATTACAATCTTATTGACTAGATTCCCTCTGCAGTACGGTTCGTCTCTAAGACTGATTTATTTTATAACTGGAAGTCTGTACCTCTTAATCCCCTTCACCTATTTCACCCATCCCCCCCCACCCAGTTCCCCTCTGGCAACCACTAGTTTGTTCTCTGTAATTAAGAGTCGCTTTTATGTCTTTTTATTTGTTTTGTTTCTTAAATTTTACATATAAGCGAAATCATGTGGTATTTGCCTTTCTCTGCCTGACTTATTTCACTTAGCATTATACTTAGAGGTCTATCCATGTTGTCGCAATATTCCATTGTATACGTATACCACTTCTTTATCCATTCATCTATGGATGGACATTTGGGCTGCTTCCATATCTTGGCTATTGTAAATAATACTGCAATAAACACTGGGGTGCATCTATCTTGTCAGATTAGTATTTTCATTTTCTTTGAGTAGATACCCAGTAGTAGAATTACTGGATCATATGGTAATTCTAGTTTTAATTTTTTGAGGAACCTCCATACTGTTTTCTACAGGGGTTGCACCAATTTGCATTTTCACTAACAGAGCATGAAATCCTTTTTCTGCACATCCTCACCAACACTTGTTATTTCTTGTCTTTTTGATTCTAGCCACCCTGACAGGAGTGAGGTAAAATCTCATTGTGGTTTTGATTTGCATTTCTTGATGATGAGTAATTTTGAGCATCATTCCATGTGTCTGTTGGCCATCTGTATGTCTTCTTTGGAGAAATGTCTATTCAGATCCTATGCCCATTGTTAAATTGGATTATTTGTTTTTTGGGTGTTGAGTTGTAGAAGTTTTTTATATATTTTGGATACTAATCTCTTGTTGGATATATCATTTGCAAATATCTTCTCTCATTCAGTAGGTTGCTTTTTCGTTTTGTTGATGGTTTCCTTTGCTGTGCAAAAACTTATTTTGATGTAGTCCCAGTAGTTTATTTTTGCTTTTGTTTTCCTTGCCTAAGGACACATTATCTAGAAAAATGTTTCTATGGCTGATATCAAAGGATATACTGACACACATTGTTTTCTTAAATCAATGAAGATAGATTTATGATACACTTTCTTGCCAAAATATATGTTTGTAAAAGAATTGACTAGGGCCAAGAGTTCAATGTATAGCCATAAAACAAAGTAAGCTAATGCCTAGTGTGGTAACAGAGTTGGCTATATTGCAAAAAAAAAAAAAAAAAGATAACTTAAATAAAATATGCCTCAATCAAGAAAAATGCCCTTATGTTAACTAATAGCACATTATCTGAATTCTTATTGAAAGGACAGTCACTATTGGTTCAAAATGAATTTTGGAATATCGGTAAATTACATAATAATATTAACGTGCTGTTTTAGAAGCCTCAAAGGCCCATCCAGCCAAAATCCCTTCTCACAGAGACAAGAAAAACTATTTCCAAGAAAAGGTCATTTCTAGGGGAAACTGGAACCCTGGTGTCACATCACTCTTCCTGATTGACCCACCTCACTTACCTTTACTTCCCGTTTCAACTTATTTATAATTAATATATCTTTATCCACCCTCTGGTCTTCCTTCGACTGAAAAAAATAATAATGAAAGCAAATTCTGCCAACATTTGGCCGTAGTAAGTGCCTAACAGGAAGTCACTGCAGCTTCCTGCTCTTCTGCTGCTGGGTTCAGGCCCACTAACGCCAAAGCCCCACAACTAATTGGTGTTGTGGTGACATCTAGTGGTTGGTCAAGATATTAGCTCTGCCTGCTTTGCCCCAGCAGCCCCACCCCGCGGTCCCAGAGGGACCAACCACACTGTGTCACCACACATGTGGTCCTGTGGTCATGAGGAATATGGGTGCCCTCCTACCCGTCAAAGGGCCTCTTCCCCTCGGGCTGAATGTCACTGTCCTGTCAGAAGACCCCACGCACACACTGTAACTCCTAAGAAAAGATCTCTCCCAAGCGACCTTCTTTCCCCCTCCGCCCCAATTAAAAAAAAATCCCTTTTCTCAGCTGAGAATAAACAGCTAAAACAAGTCCATGGATGGGCTACAAAGGGGCTTGGAACCCACTGACTGTATGCAGAATGGAGTGAGTTGTGGGAGCACGTTTCTGGGGACGAGGTCTACAGCTTGCACCACATGTTCAAAGGAATCCATAATCTACAATAGTTCAAAACCCCTGAGTTAGAAGGAAAAGGATCAGAGTTTAAAAAATAAACAAAACCCAAACAAACAAAAAAATTTAAATTAGAAACACTGTTCACCAAGAGTCCAGGAAATGTTACTATACACCTGTAGGTCTTTCAAGAAGGTCACCGGGTGGGATGTTACAATGTAGATGAAAACAATTAGTGGCATATGTCACTACATGGTATCTATGAGGTAAGTGATATATTTTTTTTAAGATTTTATTTATTTGACACAGAGAGAGAGCGCACAAGCAGGGGGAGTGACAGGCAGAGGGAGAGGGGGAAGAACGCTCCCCCCTGAGCAAGGAGCCCGATTTTGGGACATGATCCCAGGGTCCTGGGCTCATGACCTGAGCCAAAGGCAGACGCTTAACCAACTGAGCCACCCAGGCGCCCTATCAAAGAGTGATAGGATTTTTTAAGTTATGAAAAATCTCGGAGATCACTGTAAATTAGAAGGTCTATTTGGAAGCCTGGGTAATAGATAAGACCCAGAGTTTGAAAATGGATTTGAGTAAGTGAAAGACAAGGAGAAGATGTCCCAGATTCCAGGGGCCCTTCGGGAGGGAGCAAAGACTGAGACGAGAATGTGGAATCTGGGTTTAGATCAGAGGCAGAGCATTAGGAAAAGCAACCAACAGCACTTCATTCTCTGTGGCGAAGACATCTGCCTCTAGCATGCACCTGGCTGGCATGCCCCAGATATTGAACTGTGGTGGGGGGCGACCTGGGCTTCCTGCGTTTCAGAAGCTCCCCGGGCAACCCCAGTGCTCAGCCAGGGCAGAGAACACTGCTTGAGCCTGCCCAGGTAAATCTCGGTCTCCCACCCACCCTCACGTTGTTTTCCTCACCTTCGTGCTTACAGGCTTACAGGCTGATGAAGAACCAGCTGTGTGAAAACGTGTGCTTGTGTTGTTAATTAATAGGGGACAGGGTTAAAGAGGAGGTTAGAGCCAATCTAGGATGGATCTCAGATGTCAAGTTAACAACAACCTGCTCATTAACCCAGAGACTTAAAGCAGCTCCAAGATAAAATTTCAGATGCTTGAACATAGAATGGGGGGAAGGAGTGGAAGCAGCGCAATCACATCCGAACAGTCCACCTGGGAGCACAGAGAAAACACTCCTGTATCTGTCAGTTGGTACTTACGGAACTCACTGTGAACTGAACACAGTGTTCATCAGGGACAATGGCATCGACACAAAGTAAAGGCCCCAAGAGCCCAAGAAGCACACTGTAGGCTACTTCAGAAGAGCGCACAAAGCCTTAGAATACACAAAAATATTTTATAAGAAAATACTCATGAATGTAGTTACTTCTGGGAGATGCTGGTGTGAGAAGCCATCAGATTCTCAAGGAAGCCCCAGAAGTGTTTTCCTGCACAAGGAGTTCTAAAGTTTGATTTTGAAAGAAGGGAAATTATCCCAAGTCTCTTCTTGAAAAATCAGGGCACCTGGTTGGCTTAGTCAGTAGAGCACATGACTCTTGATCTTGGGGTAGTGAGTTCGAGCCCCATGTTGGGTGTGGAGATTACTTAAAAAAAAAAAAATCTCATTTTGTCTCTTAGGAGGACATGAAATAATTACCAAAGGAAACCCATCAAAATTATTAATTGAACAAAAGGACCAGAGGGTTACATTAAGGGATTGTTCCCCATCTATGATTTTGATTGCTAGTTGATTTTAGGAGATTAAAAAAAAAAGCCCTGTGGTACTGGTTCATCTGCAAATTACTGCCAGGAAAAAAACAATCTGCCTTTCATTTCTAAAAA